TAGAATGTAAACAAATGCTAAAAAATCGTTATTTTCATGGTTTTTCAGCGCTATTTTCACTTATTTTTGTTATTTGACGCTATTTAGACGAATAGGCAAGTTTTCCGAAGCATAAAATTGAAGATTTCCCGCCAAAATAGAAACTTCCCGATAACATCGGAAATGTCATTCTAACATCATTTTAAAATATTCGATATCTAAAGCAGAAAGTGTTGCTAAAAATAGACTTATTTATAGAACAATCCCCCATTTCTCACCTCAGGGAAAGTCATAAAACAGTTGGGTGCTAATGACTTTGTGAAAGGGAAAAAGTTCTACACTTAGAAACTTCGAAAGAAGGGATATGGCCTGTACCGTCCGCGGGCTGCATAAACATTGATAGGGGGCCGTATGTGGCCCGCGGGCCGCAGGTTGTGCACCCGATTTAAAAGATAATTTTATGCCATTTAAACACTAATGGCAGAAAATTATCTTTTAAATGATTTTGGGCATATGGACACCATGGCTGGCTCGAATGAAGCGCAATCAGGAAGAACAATTTTCGACCACTTTATAGAGCAACTGGGGCCATATATTGGCAATAACGCGGCAAATGTTGAGTAACTTACATCCATTAAAAGTCACTGTTTGGTGTGCTTTATGGGCAGGTGGAATCATAGGCCCATATTTCTTTAAAGATGATGCCAGCCAGAATGTTACCATCAATGGAGAGCGCTTTTGGAGCCATGATTGCTGACTTCTTCATTCCTCAGTTGAATGGTATTGATGTGACAGAGCTTTGGTTTCAACAAGATGGCAGAAAATACCACAAAGTGCGCAACACCATCAATTTATTGCGAAAAACATCCTATGAGCGCATAATTTTGCATAATGGACCTGTGAACTGGCCTTCATGATCGTGTGATCTCACACCTATGGATTACTTTCTTTGAAGATATGTGAAGTCACTAGTCTACACTGATAAACCACAGATGTTGGACCATTTGGAAGTCAACATTCGCCACATTATTGCCAATATATTGCCCCAGTTGCTCGATAAAGTTGGTCGAAAATTGTTCTTCCTGATTGCGCTTCATTTGAGCCAGCCGTGGCACCCATATGCCCAAAATCATGTTTAAACACTAATGGCATAAAATTAGCTTTTAAATAAATCCAAAACCATGGCCATTAACATTATTTTTACGTGTTTTATTTCATTTTAAATTTGTATACCTCTAAAAAAAACCACCCTGTATATATAGTTAGCAACATAATTTTCCATCCAGTTTTAAAATTTTATAGTTATTGAAAATTTGATGTTTTTAGTTTTACATATATATATATTATGATAACTTATAATAAGTTATCATAATATATAAAATGGAAATGAAAATAATACTGATATATTAACAATTTAAATAAAGTAATCATGCAATTTATTTCAGATTGAAGAATTAGCTCTTAAAGCTGCTATTCGAGATGAGAATGTAGCAAATTTGTTGGATAGTAACAAAAATGATGAAAATATGGTAAGTAATGCAATCCTTGATCTTCAGGAAACTCAGTCTCTCTTTTATAATATTTTATATCCAAAAAATATCCATTTGTTTACCAAATTTGGAATTTATTAATTTTCAGCTGTCATGTGATGACACATGCTACAAGTTTTTGTTTTAAGAACAAAATCATTTGTAAAAATAAATTTTATATTGTCTGTTTTTTAGTTTAATCTGCAATTTTAATTTTATAAATAATAATAATAATCACTGTAGGAAAGAATGTTCTTACTAAGTACTTTAATAAGACATTTTGTTTCTTTTTAACCTTCCAGGAATGAAATTTCCTTTATAACAAGCAGTTCTGTTGTTTGGCATTTATGCCATTTTAAAAATGGCTATGACAGACTTTTTAAAAATAGACTATGCTCAAAAGCTTGACTACACAGGAAATTGTACGAAAATTCACAAATTTTAAGATATAGGAATCATTTAAAAATATAAATTATATAACAAACTTCTTAGGACTAAAGTGTATAAGTGTATTCAGGATCAAATGCTTTAGCTCTTGACCAAGAAAAAGAATTCCAATAAAGTAATTTTCTAACGGCAAGGCATTAATCAATATAAATAAAAATTACTAACCTTATGCTCACTAAGCCTTGCATTTAATTACAAAAACTGTTATGAACATTTTTGGTCTACAGCTAGGACCTTCTTCAGGTAGATTTATTTAGAATATCAGATCCCTCCATTGCTGGCATTCCAAGCTTGGAATGCATAAAATATTCTGACGTGTTTGAATTTGAATATGTCAAAATCTATGCATTTCAAGTTGGAATGCCATCATTGGAGGGATTCAATTTTTTTAAAGAAATCTACTGAAGAAGGTCCTAGGTGTGGACCAAAAACATTTGTAACAGTTTTTGCAATTAAATGCAAGGCCTACATGAGGTTAGTGAATTTTATTTTAAAGGAATCTGGAAGAATTCTTTTTCTCGTCAATGGTTAAAGCTGTTTTGAGGGTTGCAAGTCTCATTCTTTGCAGCAAGGGGTAGGTTGGGAGGAAATCAGGACTGCATTAGAACTTTAAACCATAGCCCAAAATGAAGTTGTTTCATCTCTGGAGTAAATCTTTTATTTGTATTGTTTTATGGATGTTAGTTGTGTATTATAAATTCATTTATGAATATTTAAATGTATTATGAATATGTATATGAATATTTAAATGTATTATGAATTCATTTATGAATATATAAATGTATTATAAATTCATTTATGAATATTTTATCAATAATTGATTTATACTAATTAGTAAGTAAATAGTACTGAATAGCAATTATTTATTTCACTAGTATTAAAAACAGAATAACCAAAAATTACTTTGATCATTAAGTTAATAATACAGATATCCCTTGCTTAATGCAGGATTTGATTAATGTGCGAAATTAATTGCAGCAATCCCTTTATATATGTGGCAGAAGTTTTAATTTATGTAGCTTTATCAGCTGTCTTTACTTAACATAGATACCATATTTTGATTAACATGATTTTGATATATGCAGTAGAATTGAGGGATTAATTAACCACATTAATCAATGGATACCTATATTGAGCATTTGATACCAGAAGCAAATCGTAATCTGATATCTAGAGTGATGTCATTAGGATTGGAATGCCATTACAATAGCATTGCTAATTTACATTCCTACTCCTTATATGTCACGCTGATACCAGAACTTGAAATTATGGTTGTATGATTTGGAATCTAGCAGTAAATAGAAAATATTAGTCATATCAATGCTAAATTGAATGATTAAAAACTTTTTTTTAATTAAAAATAAATTATTTTTATAGTTTCTAAATGTATCATTGTAGATTAGCAATATATTCATAATTTCTTTTGTTAAATAATTTTTTAACAACAATAGTTAACTTATTATTAGTATAAAACTACATTATACATGCATATTTTAATTTCAGAATGATGAAAGCTTCTTGAAAGAAAATCTTAATTTGGATGTGAAATCAACTTTAAAAGGTTTGCTATTAATGAATATTAGATCTTTAATTATAATTATATTTTAGTGTTCTAAAATTCATCATTTTATTCAGCTATTATATTCAGTATAAGTAATATTTTGTTAATGCTCAAATTATTAAATATTTGATTTTTTTTTAATCATAAATATTGCTTACACAAATTGTTTAAGAAATTATTTAATTATGCGGAAAGCCTTGCAATTTAACACTTTTTTTTTTATGATGCTAGTTCTAATTTTTGTTTTGGATTACTGTGTGACTATTATTTCTATTTCATATATATATGTGACTGCAGGATCAGCACCTCTTTAGCACCTTGTCAGGATGACACCACTGTCTTGTGGACAGACACAGAAACCGAATTAGCCATTTAATTTCGTTACGCAAACGATTGCGGTTGTGGACTTTCATATCCAGGATGGAGGCGGAAGGAGAGAACCAGAGGAAATACACTCCACAAACTTTCATATAAATAAAAACACCCATTTATTATTCGATATAGACTATTTACAGATTATATTTGATAGATGCTTAGCCAAAGCTAATCCGAATCCATATTGCGTAACTACTACGACCCTAACAATGACTGATAATGAGAGAGAGTGAGTTTACATTAGTGAGCGTCTTACTCTTGGTGTCACTGAGATCACAACATGCCTACAGTTGTCTCACACTCTTCCTCTATTTATTATTGTGCTGATTTTACAGGAAGACACCACTTCCTGTGTTTTCAAGTCTCCCTGTATCCTATTTTGTTCTGCCATTATATTTATTACTTTTCCATCTGATATGGAGTTTGGCACATTTAGTAATATTACTTTGGGCTTCCTGCCTTCTGAGATCTTACATTGTATTCTGTCCTTCATCTCAGGTAGTCTATAGCTTCTTTTAGTTTCTTACTATCTTCCTCCCCTCCCACTCACATGCACACTCCATCTGTTTTTACTTTCCTGATGTTTTGGATTGTAATTTTTAATTTACTTGGTTCAATTTTGCTTACAATTTGAGAAGTTATTTCCTGCATATCTGGCTTCCCTCTCTCCTCTGTTTCCTTGGGGTATAGTATGATTGCATGGTTTCCAATTGTCCACTCATTCTCAATTTTTGTGTTTAGTGTTTTTCATATGGTCTTCATAGTCTGGCTAGGCTTTATTTCTATTTTGGCGATCTCGGCATATATTTGTGTTGGTTGTCTCGGACACTGTGTTGATGGAAGTAGGATTGGGGCCCTATTATTTGTTGTTTCTCTTGACAATCTTAAGTCTTTAATGATGCCCTACACCTCATGGAGGCAGTCAAATAGTTTTGCTGCACACTCACGTATCTCCATCCTTTGTTCCACCTTGATTGTCGTTTTAGAAAGTTCTGGGCATAGGTCCATGATCTGCCCCAGTAGTAAACTCGCTTCTTTGAGTATCTTACTTTCCACTATCTCTGGTTCTGTATATGAAGCCATTTATTGTGTTGTGCTCCCTTTAAACTCTTTCAAAGGTTCTAGAGTTATTCTTGATTCTAAGAAAGATTTGGCCATTCCCTTGAAGGACCTGTTTTCCATATAATGACACAGCCAAGATGGTTTCCAAGACATAAGAAAAGCCAAAACAAGAAGCAGAAGCTCAGAAAAAAGTAGCTGCAAACAGCAAAGACCACCTCAAGACAAAAGGCTAGCTTTACAACCCTCCCAACTCAACTTAAGACCAGATACATGAATTAGCAGTCCCCTTCCAGAACTGATGAACAGAAGTAATTTAAAACAATTTTAAATAAGTTATACTCAAAACTATCTTATTAGTAATGAAATAGACAAAACTTCCAAAGATTTAATCAGTAATCAAAATTTTTATTCTATGAAAATGTTGATATCTATGATCAGGTCAATGGTCGTGACTGTTGATATCTATGATCAGGTCAGTCGTGACTGTTGATACCAAAGCTGCTGTAACAGTTGCATACGGTCTTACAAAAACACCTCCGTAGGGTCCGTTGTTAGCTTGATAGATGGTATACCCAGAACTGAAAGCCGAGAGGCCCAAAAACAGATAATCAGCCTGATACTGGAAAGCTGAGTCATGGCAAATTGGGCCCCATAATTTAAAAACAAAGTCCTACAGCCCAGAAAATTGGTGGACCGAAAGTGTAACCAATCAGTAACCAAACACTAATTATTCAAAGGTACTAGACTATTTGGCAAGGATACAAACATGTATGAAGTTTTCTTCGTAAACCTGATTATTAAAGGCAAACGAACTGCTGAATTATTGAGCTATAAGCTTGATGTTTCTATTAAAGCAGCCAAGGTAGACAAATCAAGAATACTAGAGAGCAGAAGCTCTCTAGTATTCTTGATTTGTCTACCTCGGCTGCTAAAAGTACTACTACAATCTCGAAAATGAACTAGAAATCTTCCAGGATACAGGTGAAAAAACACATAACATCTGTCTTCTCTTAAATGCATTAAATTAAACATGATTCCACTCACATCAATTGAATCGGAAAGGGCATTCTTGGTAGCAGGACTTTTTATTACTAAAATAAGAATCAGATTGAGTGATCAGAGTATTGATCATCTTTGCTTTTTAAAATCTTTAAAAATTTACAATAATATTTTGTATTATGTTTTATTTAAAAAATCAAAAATTACCTTTTAAGTTAGAAGTTTGATTTAAGTTCATTGTTTTTAAATTTTCAACTCAATTCAGAAGACACTTTTTTGTTGTAAGTAGTAGGGTTTCTTTCCCAGGATTCCTGACATTTATTCCCTACAAGAAAAATCCTGGGAAATTTTTTCCCGGAAAATCTCGCATTTTATGTCAGGTTTTCTTTCTACCATTTATTATACAAAAAGTTGCATTTTGAAGACTCACCTAAGAGAAATTTTGAGGTTTCATGCTGCATATTATTACCTATGTTTTACAATTCTTTACTTGTTAGTTCATGTTATATCTATGTATTGTGTTTGTGCATCATTGAGCAGTGGAGCACTCATTGAAAGTAAATATCACTCATCACACTTTAGTTTTGAATTCGCATTTATAAGTTAAGGAATTTGTTAAAGCTTACATTCCCATTTATATCCTATCATTTGTAACTGTAAATGTGATTATTTAAAATTCCTATATTAGTCAATTACACTTACATTAAAACAAATTGTTGTAAAATAATTGATAAAATCAAACCATTGTAATATCAGAGTTGTTTGTTTGGAAACATTTTTAAAAATTCAAGTACAATAATCAGCAATGTGTAAAAAATGTAAAGCTGAGATAAAGTGCAAAGGTTGGTTTACTAGTGGTCTTATCAGACACCTGCATGCTAGGCACAATATAAACAAGTGTTCTACTAGTGATTCTGATAATAAAAGTGAAGAACATGAATGTAGTAGTAATGAGAGGAAAGCCTCAGCAAAATCTAGCATCATTTTTAATAAAACAGAATACTTTGCAAGAAATAATTACAAAGTGTCTACGCTAGATGGTATAGCTATTAATTCTATTACAAAAAGTGAATATAACAGGCAATCTTTGGCAGAGAAAGGGTATACAGGTAACCCCCGTATAACACGGTAGTTACATTCCAAAAAATTGCCGTGTTATGCAAAACAAAGAACTAGTACGAAAAGGAGGGTTAGGTTCCAAAAATTAAAAAAAACATGCTACTATATTTTCATAATTAAGATAAATATCTTTATTAAAATTTTCTTAAGTGATACATATTAATAAAAACAATGAACACTGTTTTCTTTGTCATCACTAAAAGCACTATTAACCGAGAGCATTTTATTTTTGGCAAGTTATTGTTATCCTCTGAGCATTTTTCTGCATTATTTTCAGATTCATGCTTTACCTTTTGCAACAAGTGTATGTAACTTTAGATTGCTTGCTTCTAATTAAAAGATCTTTATAAATTTCCTTATATGGTGCTAAGCACTTATGGAATAACGGAAAAACATCTGGCAACACGAGAAGCAGAAGTGTCGAGATATGGCAAAATTGAAACAATTTTTGCGAAGGACCATGTGTATGGAGACGAGAAAAGAAAATTTACACACTGAAGAACTAATAGTTTACGAAAATAATAATTTTTACGAATAATAGTTCACGAAAATAATAATTTTCGTGAAATATTAGTACTTATGTAAAAATTTATTACATTTCATGTTGTACGAGGGTTTTACCCATTTCTCGAACCGTGTCAGAGTGAATCCGTGCTATAAAAGTACCGTGTTATACGGGGAATGGTACCAATTCTCGAACCGTGTTAGAGCGAATCCGTGCTATAAAAGTACCGTGTTATACGGGGGATAGTACCAATTCAAGAACCGTGTTAGAGCGAATCCGTGCTATAGAAGTGTCGTGTTATACGGGGGTTACCTGTACTTTGCCAACAAATCCAGCTCATGTCATGGATCTGGTTCACTCACAATATGAACAGATAAAAGAAAATTTGATTTCTAAAATTGCGGAGAAAATAACTTCAGGAACAAGGTTTAGTATATCATTAGACGAGTACTCCTCTCTAAACAATTGCTGATATATGAATATTAATGTATACATAGGGGAGGGAAAATTTTGGAATTTAGGATTGGTAAGGATTTCTGGTTCTCTATCTGCTGAAGTTGCTGTTAATGTGGTCAAAGAAAAGTTTGCTGAATATCATATTTCTTTGGAAAAACACGTGGTGGCTTGTGTAACTGATGGTGCAACTGTGATGAAAAAACTGGGAAGATTAATTGAATGTGAGTACTAATTGTGTTATGCACATGGAATCCACTAGCAGTGTATGATGCTTTGTATCAGAAATCATCTACCCGTATTACAATCCCCTTTATTGATGAAAACCAGCCAGATCACCAAAGAGATGAGTATAACATTGATGAAAGTGAAGATGATTTCACTGAAGGTATTGAGGTTGAAAATTTTATTTCAGAATATGAACACTAATGAAAATCTATTTGAAATAGATATAACTTCTGAACTGTATGAAATCAACATCTCTCAA